CAATCTGCAATTCCAAACATCATTGAAACTTCTTAAGATATCTCCAATGTATAAGTAAAAAATTCTGAACAGTTCGAATGCAGTTTTTCTAAAAGCATAAATTGATTTAGCCATCTGGTCTCTTAACTCAAACTTCGAATATAAACCAGAGTGCATAACATCTTTATGAACCTTCTTTTGATGGTTCCAGCATGCTTGATACCATGTATTTACGATGATGAACGAAAGGCCCGGTCATGAGGATCGTTTTACTTCACGCTCTTTTAGGAATCGAAGGTAGACTATAATATTGTGGGGGGGGGGGGGGGATGGGAAGGGAAGACATTGCTTTGAGCATGCATAGAATGAAATAGTTGGAATGACAAATCTTGCGTAAATGTTAAAATATATGGATGAAGTGAAGTATAATCGCGACCCAATGTTCATATGAATCAAACAAACGTCAATTCAATTGATTGTATGTTCATTTCTCGTCTAATCTTCTTTGCTGCGTCACTGTTAGTTATTATCCACAAAATTAATTCTAGTGTGCCTTATTTATGCTTTTTTCGGCACTATGATGATATGAAAATTGATATGTATTATCTCACAACTTGAGATAGATGCACCTTCTCATTGGCAATGGTCAAATTACTAACGGCATAAAGTTCAAACAGTCGGTATGTTCTGTGCAATCAAATTAAAGCAGTTTCAGTAATTTTTCATTAATAATGAATGCACAAGATGGTCATTAAGGTTTGCTGCCAGCTCATAAGATTTGTTGCTTGATAATAAATCTGCTGATCTCTGTTAAATGAATGAATCAGATCACACTTTTTCTCACACAAATTAAATGCTGTCTCTTTTTCTGAAAATTCGGTCTGATAAAACAAAGATGTCGCAAGAAGACCAAAAAGGCTTGGGAAGTAAACATTGACAGATAGGGAGAAGATAAAAGTCGACTGCGTAACACCGTTTTAAGTGTGGAGAATTTTGGACGTCAATTTTGGTTCATACCGTAGCTTTGGTCTTTGCTTACCCAGAAGGAAAACATAAAGGTTTCAAAACAGACATGCAGGACACCTTGCTGTGGCCTCGAAGCATAATCAGTGCAGCCAATATGATATTAAATCTATTTCTTGTCTATGCTTTGCCGAAAGTCAACAAGTTCCACCTCAATTCACATCGCTTTCTTCTTTTTCTAAGCTTGTCAGATGTATACATTGGAGTCTGTGGCCTAGCAATCACTGTGATGCAGCTCTGCAGCGCAACAAAAACAGCTATTCAGATACAATCTGCAATTCAGAGTGTATTCATTATAAGTTCTGCGTGCTACATAGTCGTTATTGGACTTGACAGGTTTATTAGGATGAAATACCTGAACAGGTGAGTTTCTAACGTAAATTTACTGCCATTTATAGGCATGAATTGTTTATTACCATTTTAAACATGTAACTTATCATTGAGTTCCTTAAAAACACATTGCATCCACGTATTCTCCTTAAACTAGAAGGATCGCATCTTTTAGTCTGCTCAGAAAGAGCGGAAATGCAAATGATGGAAATATCTCCAAATGTATTAGTCAGAAGCATAGTCTTACCTTCTTATGATTATCATATTTCAGGTACCAACTTATAATGACGCGGAGGAGGGCTACCATTCTTATTGTGCTTTCCCCGATTGTTGGCTTACAGGAAGCTGTCGTAAAGGTGTTTTCATGGAGGTTCGCAACCGTCTACGCTATACTAATGCTCTTCCTACACTTTCTTTATGCAGTCATGATCACTATAATGTTTCTGCTCTACATTTGTGCCTACATTTCAGTTAGAGCAAGGGTCGAGAGTCTAAATCTAAACAGTGGGCGTGACCCTGCTTCAAGGAAAAGATCGGATTCCGAATTCGCCAAAGGAATGATGCTTGTTCTCGCCTCTGTCTTTATTTGTTACGTTCCCCACATGACCTTAAGCATCGTGTACTTTATCAGTTACATCGCAAGATCTACGAAAGGGCCTGTTATTCTTAACTTGATAAAGTATTCTGGCATGGCAGTTCTTTTTAATTCGACGTCTAATGCAATTATTCTTACTTTTTTCAATAAGGATATAAGGGCATGCATTGCACGTTTCTGTAAACTCAAAGGCTGGCAAAATGTTGCATAGGTTATTGGTATAAATAAATTTATAAGTATAAAGATAAATATATAAAAATGTGGCACCGTAGTATTATCATGTTTCTTACTCTTATGAATAATGAATATATGCCTGTTAATTTTAAAAAGTAATTATTCTTTCTGATATAAAATAAATTATTGAAGATTTGTACTTTCTATCGCAGAATGCTTTTACAGATAAACTATCACTTTTAGGCCTTTGAAGGGCCGTGAATCCCGGGGGAGGGGACAGGGGGGACTGGACCACCCCAAAAATCTGGAGCAAAACGATTTTTTTAAAAATTATCGTCATTTGCTTTTAAAGAAAGGAGTCCCTGGGAGGTGGATTAGAACCTAACAAAGTTTTGCTGAGTTATTGCAACACACCTCAGCCACTATGTCATGGTGTCAAGCGCAAGTTGACTATTGTAGATAGCTTTTATTTATGTTTGCAGAGTAGTGTCGGGTCGGCGACGATGCCCATGGAGGGGATTAGCCCCAAATATCTTATCCACCGGTCTCCCCTTGAATAAATTTCAAAAAGCATGTAAGAAAAGAATCGTTTAAGTCACCATAAATTTCGACAAACCCATATTACACATATTTTCATACACGCCGTTTTATAAAAATCTTAACTCAAAACTTAGGTCCCAAAGTTCCTAATTTCAAAGAACCACTATATTAGTCAAATTGCGGTACCAAGACCCACATAATAGCTCTTTATTTTAAACTGCACAGGAACAAGGAACAAGGCCAAAAGACAAAGAGGGCAAGGAGTAAAATTAATTTGCGTAATTTACGCTAATTCTAAATCTGTGTACTATATTAATATATTAGTCAAATTGCGGTACCAAGACCCACATAATAGCTCTTTATTTTAAACTGCACAGGTACAAGGAACAAGGCCAAAAGACAAAGAGGGCAAGGAGTAAAATTAATTTGCGTAATTTACGCTAATTCTAAATCTGTGTACCAGTACCACGTCAACAAAGAAGTACTTTTGCATTTAATATAGAGAGAAGCAATGACTAAACTCTTTATTATTAGAATGCAATATATATGAAATATATGAAATATATGAAATGTATGAAATATATGAAATATATGAAATATATGAAATATTTGAAATGTATGAAATATATGAAATATATGAAATATATGAAATATATGAAATGTATGAAATATATGAAATATATGAAATATATGAAATATATGAAATGTATGAAATATATGAAATATACGAAATATATGAAATATTTGAAATATATGAAATATATGAAATATATGAAATATATGAAATATATGAAATATATGAAATATTTGAAATGTATGAAATATATGAAATATATGAAATATATGAAATATATGAAATATTTGAAATGTATGAAATATATGAAATATATGAAATATATGAAATATATGAAATGTATGAAATATATGAAATATATGAAATGTATGAAATATATGAAATATATGAAATATATGAAATATTTGAAATGTATGAAATATATGAAATATATGAAATATATGAAATATATGAAATATATGAAATATATGAAATATATGAAATATATGAAATGTATGAAATATATGAAATATATGAAATATATGAAATATTTGAAATGTATGAAATATATGAAATATATGAAATATATGAAATATATGAAATATATGAATTATTTGAAATATATGAAATATAAAAAATAGCACAACCCGTGTTTCAAACGCTTTGAATTACAAAGAACTAGCGACTCCCCACACTCTGGGTGAAAGCTTGATCATGTTAGAGACTTGAACCCAACACCCATTGATGTGTTTCCGCGACTACTGAGCCACACCTGTTGAAAATGCCAAAACGTTTTAATAATGTGTTTTCAAAATCTGAAGGTATATTACCAAAATTTCCAAATTAAAACCTATTTAAAATATTTGAGAAAAAATCATCATATCTACGGAAAAAAGTAAATATTTATGCTATAAACTGGATTTTTGAAAGATTTCTACATAAACAACATCGAACCTGAAGAATCTTCAAATCATTATTGAATGGTGCAAACAAAGTTGACAAAAACCATTAAAACTTGGTTCTAGATGAAGCAGGATATAAACATTTTAATTAATAGTCATCTTGCGATTCAAAAACAGCGAGTAATGTTCGTAACTATTCCAAGAGTATTCAGCAGATAAATTACAAAAAACGACAGCATGACTTCAAAGCCTCCAAAGCCAAAAGTCTAAAAGCAGAGCTGTATAGAGGTACTGGCTCTCGTAGCAATCCCTTAACTCAATTAATCAACTTTAACAACATTCAACTGAGGAGAAAACGATCACTGCAGTCCTCAATCCCGAGATGCTGGTGTACATCGGACTTGCCATTTCTATTGACATATCCAATTCGGTACTTGACTTCTTCGTCGCATATTCATTGAAGAAACTCAACAAGCTCAAAGTGATCTCTTATTGGTTTATCTTCTGGCTGAGTATTTCAGATGTTTTTCTGGGTATATCAGGGCTTTTTTTACCACGTTGCAGTCGTATCGGACATGAAGTTCAGAATTCAAAGCATGGCACGCAAAATTCTGTTTTTCTTTATAGGCAGCTCTGGGTTTCTAACAACAACCATTGCAGTGGATCGGTGCTTCCATATGTAGTTGCTGAACAAATATTCGATATTGATGACAAAGCGAACATGTTACTGTGTATTGTTTTTCAACATGGTCCTCTCGTTTTCTTTTAGAGCTTTAGATTCTGTCCTTCCTATTTTATGTTTTTCAATTTACTTAGATGCAACCCTGCTCTCTATGGTGCTTTACATATTGCCTTATGTCACAGTGAAAAACAGAGTTTTCAAAGTTGATGCCCGATCAGAACTTAAAGGGCCACTCCAGCCCAAAAATTTTTTCTGAGATTTTTGCAGAAATTGGTAGTTAGTCGAGAAAAAGAAGCTATCGTGAAATTTTTTTTCGAAAAGCTTAACTCGTTTTCCAGATATAGACGCTCAAAGTTGAGAATCACCGTAAAAATACGACAAAATTTTTTTCGGAAAAAAGCACTTTGTGACGTGTGAAAGGGCTATTGTTTCAACATTCGGCGCTATTGTTATACGTTCGCACTGAAATTCGCACGACTCGGTAGAGGCTCGGAAGAGGCGATTCATGTCGGAATCTCGGTTGTCGTTTTATTTATTTTCCTTCATTGCGATTGATGTTCAGCGGAGGCTTCCAGCCCACATGGACTAGTAATTCGACAAATAAAAGATGGAAGCTTCAACCTGAACGCATACCCTCATCTTGGCAACGCAGCAAGCTTTTTAATATGGAATGCTTCACGAATTTTCAGATGTGAATGGATTTCTGACCGAAGGCATTTCTTATCGTCGTGTCATCTCAGGGATTTCCAGGGAGCTGAATAATAATTGATGTCTCACCGCATTAGAAGAACCCCATTCACAAGATGGAAACTTTCCCGTTAGTCACAATTCATCCTTATTATCATTTTACTATGTTGAATGCTAGGCGAAACTGCAGGGTGTAGAGGTTTTGAGGGGGTTTGAGGATGGTGTGACACGCACCCACTAAGCAACGCAATTTGCCGGGCTTTGAGAAAAACTTCGTACTGTAAATACAAGTTTTCTAACAGCCAGTCTTGTAAACTGTCCCCCAAATGGTCAGAAATGTGGTAATATGAAAAGTACAACAGGGGCTCTCAAGCAAAATGTCACATAAAATAGTACCAAAAGTAGAAGTTTGCTACTTTTTTGTACCAACAAGGGGGCCTGAGCCTCCTAGCACTACATCCTTGCCAATGATCTGTGCACTACACCTTTGCCCGAGGTATAGATGTGTAAAATTTCCCAGGGTTTGTCTGATGTTTCCCTGAACCCTTTTTCTTCATGTTCTACCATGTTCTGCCTTCAATTTTGGAGTTCTGCCTATTTCATCATAAAATTGATGCACAATTTCAAAATTTTGCCAGATTAATATCCAGGGCAAAATATCTACTACCCCAAAGAAAAAACAGGAATTTACACCCTTGGTTTTGGAAAAAAGATGTGTAATATCCTCATTCTAATGTTTTAAAGGCAGAATTGTTTATATTTGTTAAATTTACCTTTGCTATTCTAGCATTGATTCATATAAGCATGGCCTATAATTAAAATTCATCTTTGTGTTACTTCAAGTTAATATCCTTAGATGCTATTTGCTATAGTAACAGTGGTTGCCCTTTCACCCCTAAATTTCTCTTTGATCCTTTTCAATATCTATACTCTAAATGCTTCCGAGTTTCCATGTTTCTTTGATCATTTTATGTTTTAATATGACTCAAAAGTAAATTTCACTGGTATGTTAGTATTTATCCCTGTCAACCTTATTATTCTAGGCATAGAAAAGGTAACAAACTCTTTTATGGATCAGCAGAAAGGATCTTGCAAAAAAATGCACCCTGTTATCTGGCTATTGGCTTTGTGGGAGTGATAACCTGCCCCTCTCTTCCCTGCAAGAGTTACCACAAAGACCTCAACACCTTATTCTGTTTTTGTATTAAAATTTTTACAAAGGAGACTATTTTTAAAATTATCAAAATTTTATATATAATTTGGTCATACCTATATAATGTTTGCAAATCCACTTCTATTATTTAAAACTAGTGACAACATATAGGTATTTTCTAGAAATTTTGCAATAGATTATTGTTTCATGATACTTTTATAAGAACATTTCTCGTGTGCAATAGAAATTACAAATTTCTAGCTAGTTCACTGGCCTGATTGTATAGATATTTGAATATATAATTTAATGTAGCCAAGTATTTAAATACATCAAACATGTATTTATTATTCATTGAAATTCTGACAGCTTAGAGGAGCTGACAAGGCCCCTGTAATAGCTTAGGGGTTAAATACAAAAATTATATTTACACAAGTATATTGAAAAAGATGAATTATTAATATAATCTCAAATCCCTTTTTTGTTTGTATAAAAACAAATTTATAATTTTTGAAAAAGTTGTTTGACTCATGATTAATGGTAGGATTTTAGACTTGTCTTGAAAGTTTGTATACTTTCTTGTCCATGCCCTCGATTGTCCTGGTTTATTTCTAATAAGTCATAGTCATGTTGATATGAAGCTCTTCATCCTAATGAATATGTTGTATCAATTCAAACAGCTTTCATTCCCGGTATACTGGTTTTGTTTTGGTCTTTCCTCCCAAATTAATTGCGCGATGGTTTTTAGCTGTTGCACTAAAGGAAGAGCTGATGAAAAAGCGCGAATCTTCTTTTTAAAATCAGGAAACTGGCCTGCCAATACAAATTGCTTCAAAAGCAACATTCCATGAAAGTCTGTCAACATCCTCATGTCTCTGTCTCTGTCTCGCTGGCCTACTTTGACAAGTTGACTTCTCTGTCAGAAAGATTCGTGCGATAAAAAACTTCCATATTCGATCAGAATATCAAGACTGATGAGCGATACTTCTCTCTTTATATCGATTCCAGATAAAAGTCTGGCCTTCTAAAAAGCATGCCGCTGCTAGGCCCTGTCTGCCATTTCGCTACGTTCTCGTTGACCCTTTGGACAGCCGATGATACTTGCCGCGAACTTACCGAGGCCGAAAATGCTTGTGACGTCAATCCGGAGATCTCCGATAACACGGTTGAAAAACAATTCAACTCAATGACCATTTTAAAAACGCTAATAACTACAAAACGGTTAGAGATATGAAAAAAATAATAACAGATTCGTTTTCAGGAGGTCTGATTACATCGTTTTCTGAAATAAAAATTTTGGGCTGGAGTGGCCCTTTAAACTGAGTGACCGTGATCGCAGTCCCTGTTCTGCGCAATCAAATCGTACAAATACAGTTTTGAAAGAAAATGTAAGGATTAACGAAAATCAGGCAATTAAAGCTTTAGTTATACCTTGCAAGGAGAAATTGAATCTTGCACCTCCGCATAAAAACATCAATAAAGAGAAAGATATTTTTTGCAGGGAAGCCAAAAAGGAAGACGATAACGAAGCATGCAATGTCATTCGCTCTTTAGCCGATAAAGTGGTCAATAAAAACACCAATAGGAGAAAGAAGAGTGACGGCGAAAAAAGAAGACCAGAAAACGAACTTGGAAAAGCCATTTTTTGCATCGTGTTTTCTTTCATTGCTTTCTACATACCAACAAGTATTTTATACTTGTGGAACAGTTTGTTGCCTACTGAACTATCATCATCAACAATGCAGTATGTAAGATTGTTGTTACACTGTAACTCTCCATGTAATGCTATCATCCTGCTGAGCTTTACCAGGGATTTGAGAAGTTATTTGAGGTCGCTACTTCCTCGACTGTAGTATCGCAATATTTCCCACCTTTTCTTTCATTTGCTTCCACATAAATGAAATGTTTGATAGTTTAACCTTAGTAAGATGACGCAGTTAGTAGAGTAAAGTTTAACTATATCTATAGCTAGAGAGAGGTCTAAACATGTCTAGTAAGTGGCATAATGTTTTTCACTTAGTAACTGGTTTCTATGGCTGGATGTGGCAAGACTCCTTTTTAATTAAGTCATACGATATCTTTAAAACAATATTACATGGGTTGATGTGCAAATAAACAACATATATGATCATTTAAAGCAATGTATAAAAAACATAATTGCATATAAAGATATAACATTGCAATTCACATTTCAACTTAGTCGACACCTGATCTGCTGTGATGTTGTAAAAAAGTTTTTAAAGAATATGAGATAAAGCGACACTAGATTGAGGATGATCGATGTGGCCAATATATGAAAGATTTTCGCAGTCTATGTTGGCACTTTTAGTTTACCAAAATCTAGGAATCTCCAAGAATTTGTTACTTGAGTCCAAGATCTAAAGTTTTATATTGGTTGGGTGGAGCGACTTGCATCGATGGACCAACGGCTAATCATCGATACCTTGGCGCTTCCTATCATGAGAAAATGCAGCATTAAGATCTGACTTGATGATGGGTGTCTTTTGAGAGAGCTATTTTTATGAATTAATGGTCTTCATTTGTTGATGCTTCTTCCCCGAGTAGGAAATCAAGTTGAATAAAAAATAGGGCAGTCATGGCACTGCTGAAATGAACTTCAAAGTCAAAAAACAAGCTAAATAAAAAGGGATAAAACGTGCGAAAGAAGTTAGTTTCAATAATAATCTCGCCAAATGCCGTTACTAATCCAAAAAGAGGAGAAACTTTTTAACGACTATAATTATGATATAATCGCAATTTCAACTGCGATTAACAGGCAGCTGTTGCGTTTACAGCGTGCACAGCTCTTGATATATGGCATTAAGCACTATATCGATATTCTAAGCTATTAAACAAGATTTATCGAACCGTGACGAATAATGCTCCCATGCCGTATAGAAATGGGATTTTTGCAACCATGGGTTCAAAAGGGGATAGTTTCACTATTCCCTACTTGATGCTATTAAAACCATGATAGATTACTGTAAGTTAGATTATGTAGTCTGCTTGCAGCCTCAATTTGTGTCAATTTGTTCAAGCCAACTGCTTTTAACATTTTGCAAGTTCTCGAAAATAGGGAAACCAGTCAAGTCAGAACGCAAACTACTGTTTTGTGGACACACAGTGGCTTTCTGTTTGGAGGAGGTTCACTAGAGGTTCATCATATTTCTTGAAATGTTTTATTGAAATCAACTGACCAAGCAATTGGCCTGTATTCGCAAGAACATGTAAAAATCCAAAGAGCAGTTGGTTTTTGGTAATTAAAAGAATATATGAAAAAGGTGCATTTGCTGTTTCTTCCGTACGTTTTTTATCGATAAGTGTCATCAGGACAATTGCGGGCTATGCAAACGCTTTGAACAGCGGTAGCAAAGCCAAACATAAAGCAAATATGCGTTGTTTTTCAATACTAAAGCTAAAGCTTAATGCAAATATCTATATATTCAATTTCTATTTGTAGGGGAAAAGTTCCATTAGAAACATCATACTTATAGAATTCGGTAGTTTTTTAATTAAACATTCAAAAATCATTGCATACCTGCTTTTGGAGGAAGGAAAATACCACATCTTTAATATAAAAACAAATAAGAAAATTCGCTTCTCTTGTAAAAGAGACTACTCTTTTCGGCTTTCAATTAAACACAAGTATGCTAACTTCTTCATCAAATTGATTATATCAAAAAAAGCGTCTTGTTAAACTCATGTGAAGAAAAAGCGAATTGGGTGTAGGAAAAATTGGATACAAGCATTAGTATTTACCTCTTTAGAATTGCTCTGAAAGTTCTGGAACTACCAAACAAGATTATGTCTTGCAGTTAACCGGTGAGTGGCTTTTTAGATACAACCAGCAAAACAGATCAATCTCCAAACCAAAGATGGCGCTGTACACCGGTCTCGCAATTATGATTGACATCTCAAATGTGGTTGTCAACTTCTGTCTTGCATTTGTACTGAAGAAGCTCGACAAACTCAGAATCGCCTCTTATTGGTTTATTTTCTGGCTGAGTTTGTCAGATTTTTCTGTGGGCATGACAGGGTTATACTACGACATTAGAATTCCTGTAAAGACTGTACATGAAAGAAATTACTCAGAATATAAAGCTATGTTTTTCTTCCTTCAAAGTTCTGGTTTTCTTACAACAACCATAGCGGTAGATAGATGCTTTCATATGAAGATGCTGAACAAGTATTCGATTTTTATGACAAGAAGAAAATGTTACAGTATACTGCTTTTCAACATCCTACTTTCTGCTAGCTTCAGTGCGATGTTTCTTCTCTGTCCGCCATTTTTCGTCTCAATCTATCTAGGTGCATTTTTTTTTTCTTTGATAATTTACATACGGACATATACTCTTGTGAAAAACAGAGTATTTAAAGCTGATGCAAAATCGGAACATTGGGAAAAAGGTCAGAATTATCGGTCTTCGCGTTGCTGTATAGAGAAGTTTAATCCTAACAATGTAACTGCGAAGGAAAATTTTATTGGTTCCAATCAAGCAGCCAAACTTCAAGATACTCAAAGCAATGACGATGAGTGTAAAGTTACACCTTTGCAAAGTGACAACCTTGAAAGAAAATCTACTGCTAGCACGGAGGCGAAAAAGTCAGAAGATAACGAAACAGACATTGCGAATCATTCTACAGCGAATAAGGTTGTGATCAAAATCACCTGCCCTGGAGAAAGAAATAAAGACGAACGAAGAAGACCAGAAAATGAGCTTGGAAAAGCCATTATTTGCCTTCTCTGTGGTTACAGTGTCTTTTATATACCAATGTGTATTATAAATTTGTATAATTATTGGTCGCCTGGTGCATTTTCATTGTCAACATTGGTACATTTGAGACTGCTACTAAATTGCAACTGTTCGTTTAATGCTATCATATTGCTAAGCTTTAGTACAGAGTTGAGAAACTATTTTAAAACACAGCTCACTCAATCGATTACCTATGTTGATAATTTGATATTTCCTTAAACCCTTAAACCCTACTTAAAGACACTATATATCCCGGCTCTTTTTATTCCCATTGGTTAGACTATACAATCTACCTATTGTTATGGAACCAATCGGCTAACCCTCCATGTTTTCTCGATTGTAAGCACGCTTATTACCAACTCTGAATGGTTGTCGGACGGGATATAGTGCCTTTGGAATTATTAGCCTGCATTTTGTATTTGTCTTTAATTTAAAGATGTTCAAAATAGTATGTTATTGAGCATATTTGGTTATCTTTAACTGAAAGATCAAAGCAAACTTTGGCAACATGTGCTGGGTTGACTTTTAAAAGTATTGCATCATAACTACACACAAAGTCAATGTTATTGCTTGCACATCGATTAATACCATGTGGTAGAAAACACTTGTGCCACTGATTGGAACAAACCAATCTCTAATAAAAAGACGAATAAAACTTCGAGAAAATGGAGTCAAGAGAAGATTGAGAACGAAACTCCAGTTTATTTGATGCAAATATGAAATATGATAGTTTTGATTAAGTGCTTCAAGCAGGCACAAGACAAAGATTTTGCCTCTGCCCTAAGGCGCATGCCCATTTAATGCACTTTCTCATTGGTTCAAACAAATGGATAGAACAATAGTCGAGAACAATAGTAACTAAGACTCGTCTCCCGAACAAGTATCTGAAAGCTTTTAACTGAGAAAATACTTTAACATTATATTTTCAAAGGGAGTACTTGAAAATAATTCGATATCGATCTTGTGTTATATTATTGGGTCTTAAAAATAATTAGCAAGTTTTGTGATTCAAGTCTTGCGTGATCGTGTCCTCTTTTGATTCAATTCCTTTTTGATTATCAGACGTGAAAAATTGAAATTTGTTTAATGAATGCACATAAGACCGAAAAAGAAAATCCAATACTACTATTTTTTAGGAAATCTGCTCATGAAACAAAAAACTTCTACTATTTACAATCTTACTTCATTTCCGAATTTTTCAAAAAAATTTTTTCCTGTTATTTCTTTGACCAATGATAACATGATGAGCCAAAATAATTTTGCTGAACGTCACTTGTCTCATTCCACTAGCAGTGGCGGATCCAGCCAAAAGTCTGACTACCGCCGAAATGAGATAGAGGATCGACTACACCCTTTATACCACACCCATTTCCTGGTCACACCCTGTTTTCTAAAATGATTATTATTTACTGTAATTTCGTATGTAGACCATTTTCAAGACATGAGCCGTGCTTTAGTGAAATTTCAAGTATCCTTACAACAACCTTCAGAAGGAACAAATAATCTTATTTAATATTCTGAGGATGGATATTCTAAAAATATTTAACGCATTTAGCCGAGGAACACCATAGAATAAGAAAAAAAGATACATTTGGCAGAGTTTTGAAATGTCGCCTAAAACTCGCATTAAAGGCATTTGACATGCATAAGTACAGCGAATCCAAAAATAACTCGATCAGAGCACGCGCGTTTGAAAGGAATTTGAAACTACTCACGTGAAACCACCCTAGCGTCTCGCCGATTGGCAGAAAGGCGGAAATTGTTCACATGTTTTTCTCTGAGCGTAATTCAATTGGTCAACACATGAGGGTCAAGTGGCTGTAAGCGCTGTGTCGAATGCCTTTAAGTCGCACAATTACTTATGAAAATCAGACCTGTTGGAAATTATAAGTTTAAAGACTCATTGATAACAATGGGCCTTTGCGAGCGTGGCGACGATCCAAACAATGGCAGTAAACTTCTACGGATTAACCAAAATTGATTTCAGACTGTCTAAAAATGCATTATGGGATGCTTGCGAAGCGCAATGGCTCATTGTTAGCAATGACTCTTTAAAAAGCCAGATAAAATTTGCAATTTTTGAGAGCAACTTTTGTTAAACAAAGAATAATATTCTTGGCGAGCTTTGTGGGCCTGACTTTTAGTCCTGGTGTCTTTTTAAATTTTAGAATATTTGAGTCTTAATATTCTTATAAAATATATTCCTACCAATATTTATGTATTGTACGAAGTAATGGTTATTTCTGTCTCTGTGTCAAGATTAAAAAGGATTAAAAGTATTTCTGTCTCTGTGGCAATTCCAGGCATGTTTCTAGGAAGGAATGCTTGGTTTGCAGCGATATCAAATATTTTCAATTTTTAACTTTGGTTTATTTAATGTAGTAGGATAAACATGAAAATGATCCTTGTTTTTATAATTTTTTTAATAATCTGACTACCTCTCGCGCGGTAATGGCGGTAGTCTGTTTTCGCCACTGACTAGGAAGTTATGCTAACTTGACAAAATCAAACTCTTAAAATGGTCCCGTTCTTTTTACAATTGGCAAAAACAAAGGAATACAAATATATGAAAATGTTTAGTTAGAGAGAGATTTGATTGTCAGAGATAGCCGTATTTGTTGTATCTGCTGTTCAAATAGATTAGTGGAAAGTAATACGAAGCAGTGATTAGTGCTTTGTATATGTGGTATGGTTGTCGTGAATATCCACTGATTGTCGCAATTGTTGTTAGTGTTATAGTTTTGAATACATAATACTCTTCTTGATTACTTCTTGGTTGGAAAACCGAAGAGCAACCACCTAGATTTACCAAAAGGCATTCCTTGCTACTGAATGATCTCTCCTTTAACCCAACTATTGTATTTATTAAGATATTTTAAATTCATATAGTTCTATTTTTGCAAATGGAGTCTTCTTCGGTTCAAATTGTGTAAAGGTGGTTATTTTACGCAATATGTGTAAAGGTGGTTATTTATGAACTTTTAATAAGGCCTTTTAATGCTTAAGCACATGAAAAAATATATTTATCTTGTCCCTTTAAGCAGGAATTTTAATTAACCATACCTTTTAAAGTGCAAACCTGCCTTTGGTTACTGTTGACCATCATTCTAGTTTGTAGATTATTGACGTAGTAAGGCATGTTGCACGTCGGTAAATAATGAGCAAAAACTTATACAATTTTATAACGACGTTGCACACGAAATAAAGATAAGTACGACGTTTCAAGCTTAAACGTTTAAGAGTTGTGCTCTAAACGTCGAACTTATTTTTCATTTGTGTACGAAGTCGTTATTAAATTGTATCTATTTTTGCTCATTATTCTAGTTTTTAATTTATTCAATGCAAACGTTGATATAATGTTAATACAATGCCTATCAAAAATTGATATTATCTTTCTTTAATAGCAAAAATTGATATTATCACTCGTCAATTGATATTATTTATCATACGCAGAACCGTACGAAAAATTGTGAGGCCTTGGGTCCAGAATATGATAGTACCCCCGTGTGGATACCCATAACACCATCGTTAACATTTTTTGTAGAAAAAGAATAAAAACGAGTGGACTGTATTAACATTATATATTGAGACTAAATAAGTAAACTGTTTTCAACACGAAATTTCAACAACTATATTATATATTAATGCCCAGTTGTATGCTTCTTTTGTTTCTTTGAAGAAGCAAAGAACCCTTCTCTAAGAGAATGCTCTTGGCGTCAGATCAACATTTTTAGCCACTAGACAACCCGAATAGGGTTGTTCTTCCAGGCGCGCAACCAGAAATTTCAGAGGGCAGGGGTCCAAGACACAAAAAGGGCACTAATTAAATTTCATTAAAGGTCCACCGGGGCATTTGTTTAGGTACGGCGAAAATATGAGCAGTTAGTAAATCTGTAAATATTGTACGCCAGACAAGGGAAACTGATCAATAGAGAAAAGTTGTGGTGTACGGTTTATGTGGTGAGGTGTGATTTATTTTTTCCTTTTAATTTTAACTATGCATATGACTTCTTTCTGTCTGCCGTACAGTGCCGCCGAGAAGTTTAGGAGGCCCGAGGGAGGGGGGAAATGGAAAAAACAATGCCTCTTGCGAGCGAAGCGAGCAAAAATTTTGCCACCACACCCTTGCAAAATAGGCTTATAATTCTCTAATGTCGTTGTTACAGCATGTTTTACTTTTGTAATTTAATTTTTGTTTTCTTTTAAATAAATTCCATTTAAAAACGGAATTCATTGCTTGTGAGGCCCCTGCTTTGTGTACCTCATTGGAGGCCCTAGGGCAGTTTTGCCCTTTCCCCGTCACCCCTACTCGGCGACCCTAGCTTCATACTCCTATCCTCAGCGACCCAGCTCACTTTTGAAATAGCAGAAGCCTCATCTCCATACTCCGAAGACATATTTGCTCTTTGAGAAAGTATATTATTGAATTACTTTGCTTCGCACTACCTAGAGTGTGAGAGGTTGAACAATTCCACGAGCTTTGCTTAAGCTGGTTTCTGTCTCCAAGTCTTGCTTTTCAGTCTGATTTGTAATACTGAACAAGGAAACGGGATACAGCTGAAACTATCAACTTTTATGGGTCCATATGTACTGCTTTCTATATACCAGTCCGTGAATATTTTCTCTGCATTCGCTCGCGTTTCATGCAAAAGGGGTTCTTCTAGTAACCCTAGTCCGATAACTATGTGACCAGTCTTGATAAAAGTCTTGGTCGACCCAATTCAATGGGTCTCTTACAAGTCTGATGTAGAGGTCGTCAGTAGAGGCGTCTATCCCGTTCAAAATCTTTGTGCCTTTCAATTTTGGTTTGACAGTTCCCAAGAACCAATTCTTCCTCCACATAGCCAGTGCGTGACGCATGCATAAAACACGCCTTGATGTGATGTATTATGTGGACTATTAGTGCGTATAAGGAGTAATGATGAACTAGTAGCCTCACTTTGACTGTGTGGTTTAGGAATTGAGCGCGCGGGTCCGCCGACAGGATGGCTCTGGGGTGTGGTTGCGTTTTTTGTTTTTGTTTGTGCTCAGTTTGGGTCACTCTTTTCTTTCACTGCGATATATAGTGGATAGTTCCAGATCAGTATTGATGAAAGCCTTGGAATCTTCAATTCCACGTGCACGAGGCATGGTAGAGGAGCATGGAGTTTGTTCTCTTTGCAAGGGTTTAGATTTTGGTAGGGTTAAATATTACACGTTAGTACTTAAGTGGCGATAGGAGGATTACGGGATAATTTCGTGAGAATATTAAAGAGGTTTAGATAGTACAATAGTCCAGGTTTTTTCTTGGCAGAGCTAAAACGTGTTTAATTTCTCATGACATAAGCATCTCTTGCAGATATGGATGATGAAGGTTAATTGACTATGGTATTGAGACAATATGCAAAATGATGGAAGTATAGCAGTCACGAAACAAATTACGTGAAAGTTTTGGACTAGAATAATTTTATGCGTGTAATTCTCCTGATATCTGTATTCCTGCGAGGTCCATTACATCTCCGGAGTGTGTCATTTACTGTATGACCAACCATTTTAGCGTAATAATCAAAATATTCAAGCAATCTTCCAAGAAAAAGGGCACTTTTCCCCTTTTGAGAAAAAGGGCAGGGGTCTGGACCCCCAGGACCCCCCCCCCTAGTTGCGCGCCTGTGACTTCAGAAGTAATGTTTGTACCTTGCCTTTCTTTCAATTTCGCTTTTTTATCGTAACAACTAACTGGCTCTTTGCTAACGTCCCTGTAATACTACAGCGATGTGTGCAAGCTAAGAAGAAGCTTACTTTCTCTACCTTTGTTAGTGAATAGAAGATGCCAACAAATTGCAGGCAGCATTCATTTGCTGGGATAGCAATCAAATTCAGAAAATGAGTGGCACGTTAGGGGTTAGGGTGCACCCCTAATAAATTTCCTGGAAAAATTAGACAAATAAAAATATGGTTGTCCTGAAGTAATAAAGTAATGTAATAATGCTTTCAGATGGGCCAGAAGTAAAATTGACATGTTCAAGCTTGAATTTTGATCCTTTATCTTATAAATCTATCGCAATTTTACCATCCAAGAAAGTTTGGGGTCGATTTAAATGCCAAGTATGCATTGTGGTTAATGCGTCACAGTAAGTATGCGATCCCAAGCAAAGTTTAAACACGTCGCTTCTCACGAAATTTGCAAAATAACAGAAAGTTCCTTTATTGTAAAAAGAGCCTGCAAATTTCATTAAAATATGTTTGATATAATATAATCTGTTTGGATAAAAAAAAATGGCAAATATTCAAAGGGCCATCTTTAATTTTGAGGATATTTGCTCATAAGATTTTAAAAAATGATCACAAGTAATTCATTCGAATAAATTTCAAGATAAAACAACGATTTCGCCTTCTACTATGAAAGATTTGTTTGAATAATTTCTCAAACAAAAAAACAGAAAAGCAGGCATTTTTGGGTGGAAAAATGAACAAATTTTCAATAGAGAAAATTTATTTTATTAATTAAATTAGGTTGAAGCTATTGCATGTATGCTATAAATTACCACGTTTTAATATTAGCTGCGGTATGCACTTTAGCTGTTATTGGCAAGGGGGAAAGAATCATTCAAGACGTCTTTGGAAGTACCTTACTCCTCCTTGAAAAGTTTGATGGAAAATTTCAAGCCGCATCTGCCATTTCTTGCCCTTGCAATTGCAATTGACGTTTCTAATATACTGCTCAACACATTGCTGGCATATTCGTTAAAAAAGCTTGGGAAACTGAGAATAGTCTCTTACTGGTTAATCTTTTGATTGAGTGTGTCAGATTTCATTGTTGGTATGACAGGACTGGCCTTACACATTGCATTACTAGGTCCTAAGATATTGTTAATTATATTCATGACAACACATATCTTTGTGCAATTCTCTGGTTTTCTTACGGTGGTAATCGCCATAGACCGATGCATCCATATGAAGCTTTTAAACAAGTATACGCTGTTCGTGACTAGGCGAAAGTGTAACATTGCATTGGTCTTTACTGCTGTTTCGTCAGTTTGCTTTTTAGTGCTACATTACTTTTTTCCACTAGCAAGCCTATCATTTTACATAGCTGGATTTCCATTTGTCTTTATCGTCTATACTATGGCATATTTTTCAGTACGAAAAGGAGCTTTTAAAGACAGAACAGATTCAGTATGTTACTTTGTTGATATGTTATAAAATAGTGATAATTTTTTCAGCTATTAAAATTCTCCATACACGTGGGTATTGAAAGGCCTTGTCATTATTCGCAATGTTTGTTTTCATGAAAATCAATGTAATTAAAAGGTCCTGGCTGTAAAATTTGATTGCTCATTATATACGATAATCACTGCAGGAGGCAAATGATAATCATAGTAAGCAAAAGCAAATCAAAAAATTATCTCTTTCAGTTTGTTTTATACATAAAGGCACAAAATAAAAGTAACATAAAAGATACTCGTTCTTGCTGTGGACAAAAAAGTCAGTTTTGTATGAGACGCCATTGGTTTTTTATAAGTTTATTATCGAATTCCAAAGAATAACTGTTTCTTGACATTCTTTCTTGCAAACTCCCCTGCAATTTTTTCGATGTCAATTCCATCAATTTCTTTGTGCATATTTAAGAAAGGTTACGTTGTTTCAATGGTTCGCGACACTGGCTGAACGTATCCAAGATTTGAGTCTTCTCATTGCACTGAATTTTCTTTCTGCAGAGGCTGAGGACAGAGGGATGGTTATGTAATGGGCGAACCAGATTGGCAAGTGCTGGCATGCATTCTTTTCTCGCCGGTTGTGCATTCATAACTTCGGCAACTGTTCTCACTTAAGTTACCATCTGATCTTATTAGGGAATTGTCCACGAAATTGCAAGTTTTAACAATCTTTGCGTAGTACAAAAACTAAAACTGGCTTTGAAAAAAGCAAACGTTTTAAGTCATACTCAAGCATTTCGGCTGATGTAAAATTTTATTCTCAAAAGGGCCCGGTTTATCCAAAACTACCATTGATCGGTAATATTTCCTTGCGATTTGTAAGTCAGATCAAACAGGCCATTGCAAAATCTTGCTTTGGTGTCAATCCGCGTATTGTTTACAATACTTAAAAGGCCCTTCTATCCATTCAAAAGGATCGCGGTCCTACCACCCAAAAATCATCAGTTATCTATAAGTTTGCGTACCAGTGTGATTCTGGCTACGTATG